TCTATAATCTGTCTTGTTCAGGTACAGCTCCAGTACGAATACACAACAACGTTTAATTTAGATGAGGTTTAAAACTATTATAGAGATTTGTGTTATATATTACCGCCTAGCAAGTCAATGCACTCCAGAGACAACAGAAATGCACCGAGTGCGATATGCACTAAATACCCACTTTGTTTCATTAATGTGTTCGAATCATCCAAGGAATTATGCCAAAGTCTCCTCTTTTTTCATATATGAGACATGTATGTATTCGTAGCATGTGACCAATACTCTTTAATTTTGTGATATTGCAATAATAATATATTCTGGCAACACATTGATCTTATACAGAAAATAAACTTCATTTTTACTGGAGTAAGTATAAATACATCAAATACTGTGTGGCTGATTTTCATTAAAATGTTTAAGGAAAGTTCGAAAGCATTTTAAGTGCGTAAGTATAACTGAGGAGGAAGATAAAGACGATGACTGATGCTCAGATGGTTTTTAAAATGTGGACCATACATTGCTGCAAAGAACACAGAAGTGGTCACATGACATGGATTGAGTGTAGTATCAGGGGGAAATTCTTCTCTTCTTCTGAGGTTCTCCAACACGTGTCAGGGGGAATTCTCGTCTGATCTCTATATCTCGTCTGCTTGAGGTATCGGACCGGGAAAGTCACTTAAGCCTTACAGTCAAATAGACGCACACAACGAAATACTCTCGTCTTTAGTCGGTCAGTCGAGTACTCTATAAGACACAGCGCCCTTGGGAAAAGTCCCCAAGACTATCGCAAGGCTGACCCAAGACTGACCCAACTAAAAACTCTTTTATTCACTTTCAAAACCTTAACCAATTACAAATCAGTTAAAAGACTTTAAGGCGTGGCTTTCAATCATACAGCCAATCACACTAAGTACTGGACACGTCATATCTTTTGATTAATCGTTCACTATACTACTAACTGCGAATACCCAACTGTCAGAAATAGCGGTCCGGATGGCAACGGTTATATCGTAATTAGTTCCAAATCACTGAGTCAAGTTCCGTCCAGGACCTCGCATGAGCCTAAACGATGACAGACATAACACAGCCATTCACGAATAACCAGCTAAACAAGTCGGTCAACAGATACGCAAAAACTAATTCATGACAGTAGCAATAGAACCAATTATGTTAATAAACATTGGTTTCACTTAGATTGTCAACGTTTGAATTATATTCCAGGTATTTAGCATCATACAAATCTGAGAAGTGAGTGAAAAAGCAGTAAATTGTGATACGATTATGCAAATTTGATAATTAATATACATGTATTTGAACAAGCTAGCCACAATCAGGTTTTCGTGAAAATTATTTTGTCCAACCAATAAACAGAACATCTCTGTACCAAGTTGAATTGAATAAGTGATTCCTGAAATGTCATTAGAACAGACTTACATACTCAATATGCACCATACAGGTAAGCCCAACGACTCACATAATGTGTTAAATAAAATAAATGTTTCACACCCCAACCCGCCAAACCCATCAAATTACATCGTTGCTTGTAAGACAACGTTTGATGGTTTGCGAACAAAACAAAATAAAGGTTGTTAACTTCTATGATATTGTGTTCACTCGAGGGAAGTCAATTATAATCACCAATGGATGTCAATAGGGGATTTTCCGTACAATTGCGAGATCTCGCGAGATGTATGAAAAACGCGCGTCGAACATCTGCCGCAAAAATCGAACGATTTGATTTTGAACTAGAATTTCTTTATTTCGTAACTCACATCGACCGGCCGATCTTCGACAGAGGAATATTGCTTCCGAATACCCTTACTTAATCGAAATTGCCTATCATCAAATGTGGACAGCACATTATTAAGCATGGAAATGTCACCCAAAATACTTCGCGTTTGTCGAATCCCACGCGATGTTTGACGCCACTACGACGCTATGACCTTCGTTTGTCCTGTTTTTACGTTCGATTTCACGCATAACGCGTGATTCTCGCAGTGAACGGAAAATGGTCTATTGTACCTTACGTTCAAATTATTTACTGATATGTATGTATATCACCCACAAAACATAATGCGTTATTATATCTCCAGTTCACGTTTTGGCGATTAAAAATCGGTATTGGTGTACTTCGGTATTGGTGTACTTCGGTATTGGTGTACTTCGGTATTGTTCACAAAACAAAACAAAAAGTCACAAACGATTGATGTTTTTTTTTTTATATTCACTATAACAACTGTTGAGGGACTGTGAACAAACTCAGTATAGTGTGATATAGCCAGAAAATGTCTGCTTACTATTGATAATTTAATACATAATAACCATATAGTAATCCTATATACAGGTCTGCAACACATGGATACAAGCATACAGTACAATACTAATAGCCAAGCTCGAAATTCTCCGTTCCGGTGAAACACAGACAAACACAACCACTGATATATTTACTGCTTGGAACCATTACGAGCTATCGTACATCTCTCTGTCCCTATCAATAAATCGACGGACTTTGTCGTGAAATATGTGCTACCATTTCGATATTTTCACTTGATCATACGTGACTGAAACTGGACTTGAGCTAACCGACAATTGACAAAGCCGTGTTCACAAGAAAAAACAAAAGAATGTAAATTACCAGCGACAATACACGCGACCCATTCTTAATCCTAAGCTGTATGTACTATCATACATTTGAGCAGAGGATGATAAACAGCGGCCTCGACGTTGATTTTACAACTTACTCCTGAATGCAGGAAGACTTTTGTAAACTGAAAACCAGGCGTGATATTGTTATCAATAACTGTTGTTTGGTCATGGAATAAAATGAATATGTTCAACAAGAACAAATAGAGTTTATTTTCATTGTAATAAGTCAATGTGAAAGAATTCCAACTGCAGTAAATTGAAATAATAAATATATTATAATATATATATATGTTATAAAAAGTTGCTAATGATAAAGTCAAACAGCAAATATGGATACAACAGATGACATAAGATTGATAAGCATTGTAATCACGAGTCCATGACAACTATACCGAAAAGTGTTTTGCAGCACATGAACTTGAAAATGATAAATATAAATACATTTTGGTTTCGACACTTGACAGCCAAGCACGATCATAACGACCATGTTACATAATAGAAACACAACTTTGCTGCAGTGGTAATCATACAGAATAAATCCTGACAAAATTGTGATGCTTAACCATATATGATATGTATTCAAATGCATTCTGTAGGAGCAAACAGAGCAAACAGAGACCAATATATCGGTTCTTTTGGCTACTATTAATGTTATCAGTTGCTGCCATGTCTCGATGATCATAAATTGTATTTAGCAATCACTTGTCATTATTTAATATTTAACTTAGCATTCTGTAAGTCATGTATGACACAGCTGTGACATACATTATGACGTGTATGTTGATTCGATTAGTTATTTCAATTCATATATAAATATATTTCATTTCCACTATGTTGTTGAAAAAAGCAGCCACACATACAATGTAATTGCCAAGGGAAGATGAAAATTTATCAACAATTGAATTGTTCCAACACTGTACTCGTTTATACTGTCGTCACACATTTTCTGCTTCATTAATATATATAACAATTCTCGGTTCTGATAATTTGATATTTCGAATTATAATTGGGCGTCTGAACCATTTCAGAATTACGTGTAGTATAAAATGTATATAGTCACATGTTAAAACTGTTCTCGAACCTGTGACATATTTAAAGACAAATTACTGTGTGTCCATCAAATAAACAGGACCTATATTGTGAGTCTACTTTAGTGACCTGTTTCCACGTATTGGCGGAGTTACATATGCATTTACATAAGTTTAAATCTGTATATTGTTACATTTACATTTTTGTTTCACATAAATAATTTTTTCAAATTATTGAAGTTTGTTAATTGTTGTTTGATCATTCAGTTTTACTGTAGATTGTGTGTGAATGTGTGAATATATTTTTGATTATAATGAATAAGGTGTAATTTACTGTTCTATGTTTTTGAGAACTAGCCACTGAATATTTATTGGATTGTGAATCATATATGGAAAATGTGGTATGAAATATGTATTAGTGTGTGACAATTGCGAATGAACCCTGTTTGTTTAGGTGGTTCATGCGGTCATGAAATAAATCACGCCATAAGTTACAGCGTGCCGTAATTTTGCGGTATTTTACGGGGTACTTCATCCTACCATATTAGGAAATGCGAATTCCAAATTTGGAATGATTACGCGTGTAAGCGTCCTCCAATAATAAAAACAAACATGGCTGCCATTAGGGCTGACCGGACTCTACACAAAGAAGTTCGCTGATTCTGTTCTAATCTTTTTGGATTTCGGCATTCCCATGGTGTATCCTTTGAAGGAAAAGATTTATAATAATAAGGTTATAACGAGAATACCTCAAAGTATGCACAAAGACAGAACAGCTGGAGTATTGATCGACGCGCAGTTTAATATTATTTAGCAAGTAACCATGTTGTATCTGGCCAGGTCATGTGGGTCACATGAGTAGTTAGGTGATTGTAATTTTTGCATGGAGTTCTTAACCTTTGACCAATCCATTAAATATCTAACCATGTATTGCGAGTCACGTAACCTTAGTTCAGTTTGTAAAATTCACCTTTGACCTATTGTCATTAAAATGTAACTGGGACTCCCAGGAGACATGTGCCTAACTAGTTTGGAGTCGCTAGCTGTTTGTCATTTGGGGTTTTATTGTGAATATTTACATCATAATATAACATTGCGAAAATCACATGAAGACATATGAGATAAAGTTTGAAGGCCCCAGCTATTTCCCCCTTTGCTTCACAAACACACACACACACACACACACACACACACACACACACACACACACACACACACACACACACACACACACAAACAAACAAACAAACATGCACACTCGCGACAACTGACATGTTCATCACAGTACATAATAAAATAAATGTAAAAAGAAGAATATGAACTTCACTGCATTTTTTATTTCAAAAGCTCACGTATACTATATTCTGGAATTCCGGGTAGTGCTTTTATATTCAGAGTTGTTTTGTTTTCTATATCTCTTTCGTTTTTTACGAAATTCGACCAATTTGATATTCCAGCGGCTATAAATATTTTGGACCCTGCAAAATAAAATACAAAGGTTGGTTGAAAGAGCGCTATAATTGTAATAACCACTATGTGTATATACGGATATGTCATTATACATTAGGTGTGAACAATTGTTAACCATAGGGTATTTTTTTGAATACTCAATGATAACCTGGGTAGGGAAGATGGCGTAATTCAACACCACTTTATATGTAA